TTTTTTTTTTATTTGTGAGAGAAAGAGCATACATGCATGAGCAGGGAAAGGGCAAAGAGAATCTTAAACAGGACCCATGCTCAGTGCCAAGGCCAAAGCAGGGCTCAGTCGCATCACCCCAGGATCACTACCTGAGCCAAAATCAAGAGTCGGACACTCAACTGACTGAGCCACCTAGGCACCCCCAAAATAATTTTAATCACATAATTGATAAATGATTTTTTAAAAAGGATTTTAATTTTTAAGGAATCTCTACATCCAACATGGGACTCAACCTTACACCTCTGAGATCAAGAGTCACATGCTCTACCAGTTGAGCCAGCCAGGCACCCCTGAATGTTTTTGGCTTAATAAAAAAGAAGTCAGTTTTCGAAAAGCAGAAAATGAGATATTATACATATTAGTATACAGCTTTTTTTTTTAAAACAAACATCTTTCCAAATCAGTACATACAGATTCACCTTGTTTTTCTTTAATAAGGACATATTATATTGTATGCCCATATTATTATTTATCCAGTTTCCTATTGGTATCTATGTTTTTTAAACAATGCAATATATATTCTTATACATATATCTTATGTATATTGTGTCTCCAGAAGTGGGATTCCTGGGTTATAGGGTATGAAAATATCAAATTGGCATACTCTTAACTAGGATTGGACTGCATTTGTTATACACTTCCCTCTGACTCCACCCCTAGCCAGTACTCTCTGTCACTGAATCACTTAAGTTAGCCATCCCACCATCAAGGGACTTAGCTGTCAGGCTTGAGAATCCTGGAGCAGAGATATGAGAGAATTTATTTGTGAATAATAATAGTAATAGCTTACCTGTATTGAGCACTTAAACCAGGTACTGTTTCAGCCAGGTACTGTTCTAACTACCGTACGTGTATTATCTATGTCTTTTACTCTGTATACCCACCCCCAGAGATGAGTCTTTTTTAGATGTTTATTTTTATTTTTGAGCAAGAGACAAGAGTGTGAGCGCGGGAGGGGCAGATAGGAGGGAGATACAGAATCTGAAGCACGCTCCAGGCTCTGAGCTGTCAGCCCAGAACCTGACACAGGGCTCGAACCCACGAAATGTGAGATCATGACCTGAGCCAAAGTGGGATGCTTAATGGACTGAGCCACCCAGACACCTCTGTTATTATCCCCATTTTAATGCTTAGGAAACTGAGGCACCTAGGGTTAGGAAAGGTCACATATCTATGTAATTAAGTGGGAAGAACAAGATCTGAACCAGGGCTCATTAACTTCTGAGTCAGTGCTCTTAACCCCTGTACACACTGTCTCTAGAAAGTTTATCTTCGTGCCAGAGTTCCTCTATCTTGTTTATTCCTTATGTAATAACCGGGGCACGGAGGTGCAAGAGCCTGGCTCCAGAGCGTCCCAAACAGACGAGGTTCAGCCACACGCCAGTGACAGAATCCAAAGGCCGAGAGAGGAGTGGCGGTGAAACAAGACGGGGATGTAGTTCAGTGAGTCCGACACCAGGAAGGCAGCGGACCAGTGTCTCAGAGATGGTCTCCAGAGTGACAAGACGTCCAGGTTTACATAAGGAAAATGTGGGACCAAGGTCGGTGGGTGCAAGTGCTGGGCAGTAAAGGTTGGCTCGATCACTGTCTTGGGGTCAATCATGCAGGATCTTGCTGGAGTCAGAGCAGGGGTAGTTAATGCTTGCGGGGGCAGTTTCACTTCCTGTCAGTGAAGGCTTTGTCCGCTGGTAAAGATAAGCTGGAAAGAAGAACTCAAGCAGTTAGAAAGTACAGACTGAGGTCACAGTGAAGGTAGTTGAAGTCCCCTTTCCCTTAAAACAATATTGTATTTATTCCATTTATTTATCTTTTTCTTCACTTTAACTCGGTCCTAATATTTTTCATATCTCTATCCCCAATTCCTAGCACAATGTCTAGTTTATTGTATGTAATAAATACATTTAGTTGCATAACAGTGCCTCATGGAGTAGCTACTGTATCCATGCTAGCTGTGAAGAAACTAATCTGGTTCACCCAAGTAGTATAGTAGAAAATACTGGAACGCAGAATGCCAGAGCTGTGATTTGAACCTAAGTCTTTTTTTAAAACATTACTTAGGGGTGCCTAGGTGGCTCAGTCGGTTGAGCCTCGACTTCGGCTCAAGTCATGAGATCACACTCGTGGGTTTGAGCCCCACGTTGGGCTCTGCACTGAAGACCTCAGAGCCTGGAGCCTGCTTTGGATTCTGTGTCTCCCTGTCTCTCTGCCCCTCCCCCACTTGCACTCTGTGTGTCTGTCTCTCTCTCTGTCAAAAAAAATAAACATAATAATAAAAAAATTTTTAATGTGCATTTATTTTTGAGGGAGAGACAGACTGTGAGTGGGGGAGGGGCAGAGAGAGAGGAGACACAGAATCCTAGGCGGGCTCTGGATTCTGAGCTGTCAGCACAGAGCCCCCAACGTGGGGCTCGAACTCGACAGCCGTGAGATCAGGACCTGAGCTGCAGTCAGACGCTTAACCGACTCAGGCACCCAGGCACCCAGGCACCCAGGCACCCCCTATTTCTTTTAATACCTCCTCCATAGTAGATCCCATGTGTCTAAGTTGCCTCCTTCCCACCTGCTTCAGAGGGCTCTGGAGAATGGCTCCCTACCTAGCAACCAGTTCTAAGAAGGAAAACTTCACATCTAGACTTCTTTAATGATCCTTGGGAGAGGCAGAACCAGATGGTAGGAGGGCCCCTGGAAAAGAGAGTTTCTGGAAGTACTGCAATCAGGAATAAATTGTTGGGGGGTGGGGTGGGCAGGGAGTCCGGTTCCCTGGAGGAACACTACCTTGTAATAATACCTATCCTCTATTTCAGTTTCTGTGTGCCAGGCATTGTTCTGTGTGATTTACGAGCACTGTGTCCTTTTAATGCTCACAGTCCCATTAGATGGATATTGTTATCTCTGTTTTACATATGAAAGAATGCAGGCTGAGAGGCCTAGCGACTTGCTCTAGGTTACACAACAAATAGGCGATAAAGCTGAGATTGCAAATCTCAAATCTTTGTTTCCCCCAAACGTTCATTTTCAGCATTTTGCTAGCCCTAGGTTATAACAGCTGGCTGAGGCTGGGGACATTGTAAGAAGTAGACTCTAAGGGGAAACTGCCCTCCCTGGACTGTGGGGGACTCTAGCAACCAGGAATAAGGTACAGAAAACCATGCAGCTTGAGCCCTGCTAGGTTAGGGGGTTATGGAAAGAAATATTATTGATTTTTTTTTTTAGCTGACTGGAGAGCTTGGAAGATTTGATACCACCCATTCCAATTTGTGAATCTGTGTTCACATGATGTCTTTATACTCTTAACCTAGAAATGGTAGAGTTATTTTGGGCACAAAGCAAGAGCTGTGGCTTTAAAAATATGCCACTGTATTTATCTCTTCCGCTCCAAGATTACTGAAAATTAGCCCAGCTGTGGCCTGAGGCAACAAATAGCCACAAAATCTCCTTGCAGATCACGCAGCCACCCCCCATCCTTCCCCCCACCCCAAGCCTGCGGAACACCCAGGAGTGGCAGCCTTTGGGGAGTGGATTCAGATCAGCCTGCTTCCCTTCATACTCACATCATCCCCTCCCTGCTACTCTAGGGGTCAGACTGCTAGCCCTGTGAGTGAGCTCAACTCTGTCTCCTCCCTCATCCCGAAGGCTTCACAGAAATAAAATAATAATCACAAATTGATTATTGAGCGGGGGAGTCCAAATGAGAAGAATTTTTCAGCTTTATTACTAAATCCCTGTGTGATTCAGGGCAAAAGACCTTGCTGTCATTTAAGCCTTCAGTTTCCTTACATATAAAATGGAAAACCTTTTTTTCTCCCCCAAAGTAGGCTCCATGCCCAGAGCGGAGCCCAGCGTGGGGCTTGAACTCACAACTCAAGACTTGAGCTGAGATCAAGAACCGGAGACTCTACTGAGCCACCCAGGCACCCTGGAAATCCTTTTTATAACAATTATTTTTATAACGATTATTTATTACAGGGACTCTGTGTGTGTGTGTGTGTGTGTGTGTATGCATGTGCAAAATGCATAATAAAATGCCTGACCTTTAATAAACAATTTATCAGTATTCCCTAAGTGACTAAATCTTATGCTGCTGTGATCTAACAAGTAAAATGTAATGAGTTTTTACTTTGTGCCATGCACTGTGTTTTATGCTCCATAAGAATAATTACATTTAATCCTGCAACAACCCTATGAAGTGCTATTATCTCCTTTACACATGAAAATTGAGATAGTAAATGATTTGCTGGACATCATGTAATATATATGGTGTAGCCATATTTAAACCTACTATTCCGATTATAGAGCCTAAGGTCCTAACAGAGAACACACCGTATATTTTTACATTGTCTTGTTTCCTGGGAGAATTCCTTCCACTGACATTTGAAGGCCTAAGGACTAGTGGGGAAATAGTGGAAATGCTAGCCCAGGTGTTTGGAGCTTTCTCCCTGTCTCTCTGATCCTGAACAGGATTTGAGTTGCAGACTACGGTTCTCCTGCGTTTTGTGGGCTGTAATTACTCAGATTAACATAGCCCAATTCATAAAGGCTGAGTGAGTGAGAAGAGGCGGAGCTTGTTCAGGCAGCCCACAAACCCCACAGATGGTAGGATGGGGGTGGGGAAAGAGCTAGGGATGCTTAACAGCTAGGTCTTTCAGCAGTTTTGATGGCGGATGGTTTTTGCCTTTTGGTCAGACTGAGTGTGTATGATTCTGCAATCTGCCGAGTTCTCACACACACACACACACACACACACACACACACACTCTCACACTGAGAGACAGATGAAATGGTTGCTCGTGAGGGTGTAAACAAAATCATAGCTGCTTGAAGCTGTAGTGGCAAGCTCCAGTGGGGAGAGGAATCACGGAAGGAGGATAAGTGGGGTGTCACTGCGCAGAAAGCCTGGATGTTCATCTGCATACCCAGAACCTGCAAAACCTTCCGTGCTCTGACTTTTCCCTGGGCAGCCAGAGGCAGCAGCGGCAGCCCCAGCCAGAGAACGAGCAATCCAGGAGAGCTGTCTGGCTGGGCCGGAAATGGCTGTAATCATTTAATAGCCTTTGCTGGCTGCACTGACCTAGCGGAGTGGGAGGTAGGCAGGCTCCAGAGTGCTGTCTTGGCAAGACAGCCTGGGCTTTAATCAAAAAGATGGGTTTTCTGGAAGCTCTTTATTAACCTTAGGACCAAATTCCAAAGACGGCAACAAAGGGATGAATGGGGAGGTAAGAGGAGGGCTGAACCCTGCAGAATGGGCTGTGATTTTCCTGAGCTTGTCACTCCTGCATCCATGCCCCGCCCCCAGCTTCTGTTCCTTCTTTCAGTTTATTCTAGCTTAGTGGTTGTACCTCTGTCTCTCAAATGGTGGCAAAAACAAATATAATCAAAGTAATCGCTACATTTGTATAGTGATTCAGGGTTTTCAAAGGGTCTTCAGGTACAGCTCAGGATATGGTGGAGTAAGGCTGCCTAGGTTACATCCGGTCCTAGTCTCTTCCAGTTAGTAACAGGAAGACTACTGGTCCTTAGTCTTTTCTTTTATAAAACAGACATGGATATTAGTAATATTTACTTCATATGGTTCTTGTGAGGAGCAGAAATTATATCGCACACAGGTCTGCTTAGCCCACTGGCACGCACCTAGGAAGAACACCGAAATTATTAAATACATCCAGAATCCTGTGGTGTAGACTAGACAGGAAGGCTATCATCTCCATTTTATGGATGAGGAAGCTGTGTTTCAGAAATACTTATGTAGGGGCGCCTGGGTGGCTCAGTCGGTTAAGCATCTGACTTTGGCTCAGGTCATGATCTCACGGTTCGTGGCTTCAAGCCCTGTGTTGGGCTCTGTGCTGACAGCTGAGAGCCTGGAGCCTGCTTCAGATTCTGTGTCTTCCTCTCTCTCTGACCCTCCCCTGCTCACGCTGTCTTTCTCTCTCTCAGAAATAAATAAAAAAACATTGGAAAAAAAAAAGAAATACTTATGTAAATTGCCCAAGATTTTGTATTATGAAAGATAGAGTCAAAAAAAAAAAAAAAAAAGAAAGAGTCAGGGCGAGCTCTCAAGTTCAGAAGATCAAAAGCAAGATCACCAGAGGAAAAGAGAACTTAACACTCCCCAACATACTCCAGCCTGTGCCCCTCCAAGAGCTTTCCTCAAAGTACTATCCTTGGCCAAAATGACTTGGTGTTGTTCTGTTGGGGAAAATAAATTAAAATCAGAAAAACCTCTGCTGGCCTCAGCTGACTGCCCAAAGGTGTTCAGAAAAGGGGTTGGGGGTAAGTTCACAAGGCTGGCATTTGCTGCACTCTATTCAGGGCCTTCCCCACTATGTGCTTTGGCAAAGCCTCCAGACCCACTCATTCTTAATCCCTGATGCCAAACTCTGGCCAGAGTTCCTTTATCAAAGAAGAAAGTTGGATGTTGCCAAAAAGATCCTGGGCAGTGCCTGAGAGAAGTGTCTAACATGGCTTTATACGATTAAATGAAGTGGCTAGCTACCTCCAGAGGGCAGGGTTTTTTGTTTTGTTTTGGTTCTGATTTTGTTTTTTATGCAAAAAGGTGATTTTATTAAAGTATGGGGATAGGACTTGTGGGCGGAAAAAGCTGCTAGCAGTTTTGTTTTTTTTTTAAGTTTATTTATTTTGAGAGAGAGAAAGTGTGAGTGGGGGAGGGACAGAGAGAGAGAATTCCAGGTAGGTTCTGTGCTATCAGTGCAGAGCCCAAAGCCCAACTTGGGACTTTAACTCCTAAACCATGAGATCATTACCTGAGCTGAAGTCAAATGCTTAACCAACTGAGCCACCCAGGTGCCCCAGAGCGCAGCTTTTTAAGTTGCAGATCGTTATGCATTTTTAAAAATAAATATGTTGTTCTGACTTTTAAATGTATTCCTACCTATGGTGGAGAAGTCAGCCAATACCAAAAAAGGAAATAAAAGGCAAAACTATTTGCTGTAATTATGATTATATTCTATTAAAGCTTTTAAAACTCATTGGCTTGTAATCTGAATGTCAGGGATGGACTCTGCCTAAGGATTCAGTCCCCTATCTGCTTGATATATACCTGCAATCCCCTTTCTAGGCTCTGACAGAGTCTTAGAGCTTATTGATTTATTTTTTTAATTTATTTTGAGAGCGAGAGAGATGCTGGGGGTTGGAGGGTGGGTAGAGAGAGAGATCCCAAGCAGGCTTCTCACTGTCAGTGCAGAGACTGATGCGGTGCTTGAACTGTGAGATCATGACCTAAGCCAAAATTGGGAGTTGGAAACTTAACTGACTGAGCCATCAGGTGCCCCCCTAATAATCTTGACTTCATGTCAGTCTTGTCCTTGTCAGTAAGCTAGGTTCCCTGGGACCAGTGGGGATGGACTTGTGGAAAGTCACAGGAGAGGGAAGAGGAAAAGAGGAAACATTCCCTTGATTGACTATTTGCTGGTACTGCTCTGGGGTGTCTTCCTTTCTCATCTTCTTTAAAGGGGAGCATCTCCTTGATTCTGCCCCCAAAGTCACAGCATTTTATAGGCGAATATGGCCAAGGGTCTTTAGTGCTCTTGGTCAAGAGGGACTCAAGGTTAGGAGGTCAGTAAATGTTGTTTGTCAGATTCTGAAGCTCTTAATTCACCTGAATGAGCCCTCAGAGATGTTTGCTTCACATCAACCAGAACAGGTTTGTCGCAATGGTCTGTGAGGGAGTCAAGAAACCAGATTTCATTCTGCTCCGCAGAAGCTGGATAGGAGGAAGATGCACTGGAATGGATCTCTGATTGCTTCTTGGAGTTAAGGCTGAATCAGACCAACCAAGACCAAGGCCAACAAGCTCAGTGACAAGTAAAAGCAGCTCATTAACTCTTAGCAGTCCTGCTGTGAGGGGCTCCCTTGTCCAACAGACATAGCCTTTAATGTCCTTTAATTCTGCAAGATAAAGACATCTCTGAGTTCTGCGTCTCCAGATGACAGTCCTGAGGTCTCATGCAGAGTCCTGGCTGTGGTTGGAAAAAATTTCCATCCTGGGCTTCGTGAGAGACCCCTGAGTGGTATTGAAACACCAAACCCCGGACTTTTAAACACCTGCCTTGCTTTTGTCTCTCAAGGACAGGGCCTGTATTTTAAAGGTAAACAGGCAGATTCTGGCTGGGCTCAGGTGCAGATTCATCTCTGATGGCTCAAAGAAATTAGTCTTAGTCTCAGGGAAAAAACATCTGTGGCCCCAAGTCCACAGAGCTATAGAGTCCACTCTGCCAGGGAAGCATGTTGTAGGGAAAGGGATGGGGGAGAGCCGAAAGTCCCTTGCTTCGTTTCCCTACTGCCTGCTGGTACTTGAGCTAAATTTGCAATATATTCTTAACCTGCCTTCCTGGCCCCAAGAGCTGTTCCATATATAGTTGCCCATATGTGGTTCAATTTATTGGGCTCTTACATTGTGCTGGCGATCAGGCTTCGCACTTTACACGCATCACTTCACTGTCTTCAGGGACAAGCGGCAGTGAGTGCAGTCAGTGGAGGGCTGTTGGATCAGCTGGAGGAGCTGCTGCTTCTCCCACCGGTCCTCGAATTCACCTGCCCAGCAAGTATTTATTTAAACACCTGTTATGGGCCAGAAATTGTGCTAGACACTGCTTAGGTACTGGTGAATGAAACTGGATGTTTCTGCCTCTGTGGATGTTGCAGTGACAGATACAGGTGAAGGGGGTTGCTGCTTGGCCGGGAGGGTCATACAACACCTCAGCGAGGGGGTTACATTTGGGCACAGACTTGAAGAATGAGGAGCCCTGCTAAGAATGGAGGGAAGATCATTTCTAGCCAAAAGGAAACTGTGTGCATACAGGCCTTGAGGCAAAAAAAAATCCCAAGAGGTGTCTGAGGACCTCAAAGAGGGCCTGTGTGGCCAGAGGATAGTGGTGACAGGGAGATGAGATTGGAGGGTAAAAAATATAAGATTATTGAAGGGCCTTATAAACCATGTTAGGGAGTTTGATTTTATTTTATTTTTTACTTAAGGCAGTCGAAAGCCTCTGAATAATTTTAAGCACAGGAGTGATGTAATCTGGTTCCTATTTTTAAAGGATTTTACTGTGTGTGTGCTATATTTCAGTTTTTAAAAAAGGGAGAAAAACTTAAGGAGTGAAGCTGACTGTGGCTCCTGGGTGGAGGGCTAGAGAGAAGCAAAAGTCAAAGCAGGCTGGACAAGGAAGAACCTATTGCTGTAATTCACATTCAAGGTAATGGTGCCCTGAAAAAAAAGTAGTGACAGTTTATATGGGGAGAAGAGGACAAAGTCAAGGTATATTTAGGAGGCAGGAATGACAGGTCTTGATATACGGTAAGTGGAGAATGGAGAATAGAAAAAAAAGTGGAGAATGGCTCTGAAGTTTCTGTCTTGAGCATTAAGGTGAATGGAATGCCATTTATTGAGACTGGAGAGATTTAGAAAGGAATAGAGGAGAGGAATCAAGAGTTCTTTCTGCTTGAGATGCCCCATGAGACTTTCCAGAATAGATATAGGATAGGCATTTGGAGATATAAGATTGGAGCGCAGAGGGATACGGGCTCCAAATATAAATCTGTATCTCATAAGCATATTTGGACAGTATATATACCCCTGAATATGGCTGAGACCTTGAAAGGAGTGAAGACAAAGAAGAGATCTAGGGCCAAAAGAAAGTTCAAGAGAATGGTTTGACAAGGAACTCATAAAAATAATTGTCTCCTGAAGGGGCAGACAGGTACCGCCAAAAGGTTCACTACAGTGCAGACTAAAATGTGACCACTGGCTTTGGCAGTAACGTGATTAGTGAGCTTGACATGAGCAGTGTTAGAGAAGTAGTGTCTAAGGATGCCAGATGAGAGGAGATAGGGAAGTGACAGGTCAGGAGATGGAAATGGCAGATGCAGAGAAACTGAAACTGCAATCAAACATAAATGGTTTATCTGGCAGAACTTTCCAGGATTACACCCAAGGAGCAGTGTCAGATACGTGCATGCTACTGTGATGTCAAAGGGTTTCAGTGTCGTGGCTGTTGGGATTACTTTACACGGGAAGACCATTACTCTTCCTCTCTGGCTCTGACCTCTACTCTTCTAGAAGTCATTGATGTCCTTTATCATGTTGTCTTCTAGCTAGACTCTTGGGGAAGTCTTGCATTGAAAACCCCTGTGGATACATAATAATTTCCCCCATACCCAGTGCAAATTTCATCTCTCCTCTGGAATCTCCTTTGACTTTCTCAAGTATAATTAATAATTTTCTCCTCTGGAATCCCATAACACTTCTCATGTACCTTGGTCATTGTATTTATCCAACTGCCTTATAATTGCTTGAGTGTCTGTCCCAACTAGACTCTGAGCACACTGAGGAAAAGTTAGGCTGGCTCCCAGAGCTGTACCCAAACAGGACCATATTTACAACAGGGTTCCATTTTTCTATACTAGATAGCATTCGTCTGTACCCACACATCTTCCCATCTCTTCTCTGCTTCATCCCACCACCCTTCAAGATTACTGTGATACAGATAGGATCAAATAATTGATTCCACCAATTCATCTTTTGTTTTGGACAGAGTAGGTGTCAAAATACATTTGTAGCCAAAGTTTTCTCTAATTCACACACTAATTTGCTGCTGCTGCTGCTTTACTGCCTATCTCCCTGCCTACCCCCCAACTTCATCCTTCTTCCATCTGAAATTGTATCATGTACCTCTAGTTTAAGTTTTCCCCCCATTACCTGAAAACAATTAAAGTATTTTGACTATAATTGGAGACAAGGGTTCTGAAATCTCTTGGCAGTTCTGTTTGGGGGGTTGTTATTCACATACCCCAGAGTCTACAAATGTCAGCTGCCTCTTATGTTACCATCATTATTGAAACCTCCATTTAAAAAATTCTAAGCAAGTGCTCGCTTCGGCAGCACATATACTAAAATTGGAATGATACAGAGAAGATTAGCATGGCCCCTGCGCAAGGATGACACACAAATTCGTGAAGCGTTCCATATTTTTGAGGACATTTGTGGGGATGAGCACTGGGTGTTATGTGGAAACTAATTTGACAATAAACTATTTGTAAAAAAAAAAAAAAAAAAAAAATTCTAAGCAAGAACACAGGAGATCCCAGAGGTCTTTAGAACTGGTTTGAGAAACCAGTAGTGTACTACCTGACATCAAATGAGATTCAAGTATTTCACTTTGTGATTATAATAACAAATGCCCAGGGTGTCTTTCATTGTAGAAAGGCTCCAAAAAGTTAACAGCACTAATTGTTCCAAGAAATGCCCTGTTTACAATAGCTCTTACAACCTCAGGTCTTTTGTTGTTGTTTTTGTTTGTTTGTTTCTTTTTATGAAAAAGATTCTCTTTAATAATATATTTTTTCTTTTTATGGAGGTACAGGCACATAACAATATATTAGTTTCAGTCATACAATATAATGATTTGATATGTGTGTACATTATAAAATGAACACCACATAAAGTCTAATTGACACCTGTCACTATAGTTACAGAAGAATTTTGTGTGTGTGTATGTATGTGTGATGAGAACTTACAGATTTCTCTTGACAGCTTTCAAATATGCAGTATCATCACCAGGGTGCTTCAGTGGCTCACTTGGTGAAGAGTCTGACTCTTGATCTCAGCTCAGGTCATAGTCTCAGGGTTTATGAGTTCAAGCCCTGCATTTGGCTCTGCAGGACCGAGCCTGCTTAGGATTCTCTCTTCCTCTCTCTCTGTCCCTCCCCTGCTTGCACATGCTGTATTTCTCTATAAATAAATAAATAAATAAATAAATAAATAAAT